TATCTTTGCTCTGGATTATGTTACAGAATATGTTAAAGCTGTAATGAAATGCTTCTTCTAATCATGTGGTTATTAAATTTTTTTAAAAATTAACAAAAAAAAAAGAGGGGCTGGAGAGATGGCTCAGTGGTTAAGAGCACTGACCGCTCTTGCAGGGGACCTGGGTTTGATTCCCAGCACCCACATGGCGGCTACAAACCATCCTTAACTCCAGTTCCAGGGGAATCCGAAGCCCTCTTCTGACCTCCGCGGCATTGCATGACACAGGTGCACTCACATACCTGCAGGCAACACACTCATACACATAAAATAAAAAATAATAAAGATTAAAAAGAAAAGAAAACCAATCGATACCATCCTGGAGGGCATGGGTTCCAGGTGACAGCACAGTCAGCTCCCATTGGTACAGTGGTACTTGCCCTCATCTCTCCTTCCACAGTGCTGACACAGCAGCAAAGACCTTGCCGGACACTGGCACTTCTTATTGCACTTCCCAGCACCCCGAACTGAGAGCCAGTATGCTGTTCATTACAAACTGTCCCCTCTGTAGTACTGCTACGATAGCACAAAATGTTCTGGTCCAAGAGGCCAAATCCAAAGCTCCCACAGCAAAACATAAGACAACTGGATGCCAATGAATGCAAATAGCTGAGACCCACCAGACATGCCGATGCCCCAAGATCCTAACAATGCTGATAAAGACAGTGACTGGTCATCATTGTACCACTGGTCAACAGGCAATGAGTTATTTTGAAAACAAGGAAAGGAGGGCTGAGGATGTAGCTCAGCTGATAGTCCTTGTCTAGCATACAGGAAGCCCTGGGTTCGATCCCCAGCACCATAAAACCAGGCGGGGTGGTGCACACCTGTAACCAACACTCCAGAGATGAAGACAGAAGGAAAAACTCAAGGTGATCCTCAGCTACACAGTGAGGCCAGTCAGGGACACATGAGACCCAGTCTCAAAGCAAAACAAAAGGCCAGCCTTGGTGGTGGACGCCTTTAATCCCAGCACTCAGGAGGCAGAGACAGGTAGATCTCTGAGACTAAAGCCAGCCTGGTCTACATAGCAAGTTCCAGGCTAGCTGGGACTACAGGGAGACATAGTCTCAAGAAGAAAAAAGAAAGAAAGAAAAAAGAAAAAAAAATCACTTCTTGGTCTTTCGGCTAAGATCAAGTATAAAAGTCAAGTAGTATCTGTGCCTCCTGGGGAGGACGCAAGGCCCAGCAAAGCTATCCTGCTGAGAAAATCATGCCAAAATCTAGCCTAGCATCTGGCTTGATCTAAATTAAAGAAGTGCTCAAAACAGGATCGTGCTAGACACTGTGCAGCGCAGACAGCAACACAGAGATTTTGGAACCTCCGGACCACAGCCAGTTCCTCCAGTAAATAAGTCATAAAGGAAAAGAAGTGAGAGAACGGTGAAGGACAGGCATTATCCCAAGCAGGGTCCTACAGCAGTATGTGTCATGCAAACGGAAGACACAAATTAACTCAGGAGCTACATGAGGCCGTCTCTGCTCTTACTTCACACTACATGCAACTTAGTACATATAAATTATACCTTCCAAAAGCTACCTTGAAGCTGGGTGTGGTAGCATATACTTATATATAATCCCAGCACTTGAGGGGAAAGTAAAAGGGTCAGGAATCCAAGGTCACCCTTAACTACAGAGCAAGTTGGAGGCCAGCCTGGGCTACTGAGACCCTGTCTCAAAAATAATCAAGAGCTCTGGCTTTGGCAGGCTAAGGCTGAGATCCTAGCAGACAGCCTGAGAGGGAGGGTTCAGACCGCCATCGTGTAGTGGCTCTGATCTCAGCAGACTGCCAGAGTGCCACGTTCTGGCCTCCCTCAGGCCTCCCTCAGGCAGAGGGCCTGAGCACACAGGGGACTGCCTGAGAGCTCCTGATCATGCCTCCACGTGGTGAAGCCTTTGAGAGGGAACTGACACTGATTCTAACCACTCCAACAGCTATCAAAATACCTGAAAGCAAGTCATGAATCCATCACTCTAAGAGTCCAGCCTTGGAGGACAAAAGAAAAATGTGGAGGAACCCAATAGAGGGATGCTGTTGGAAGCCCTTGTCAAGAAATTCCAATGGACTCTCATATGAACATTTGAAAACTGCCCTGTTCTGACTTTTTTTCTAGTTCTCTATCTACAACTTGTAATGCTAATTACTCTTGCCTTTACTTCTCCTTCACATCTATTCACAATTCAAAGACTTTCTTTTCCCCTTAGAGACAAGAGTTATGCAATTTTGGGGTCTTTTAGATAGACCTACTGAAGGCATACTCCAATTGCCTCACCCTGCGTCCCTGTTCTGCAAGGAAGAAGCCAGAGCAGTCTGCGTCCTGATTCCCTATTGGCAACTTGGGTAACCCCTTCAGAGGATGGTGTGATAAGAATAGGAGGTAGGAATTGGCTAGGTAGTTAGAGTAAAAAGACCCCAAAGAAAAGCAGCCAGTTTCTCGGCTAAAAGTCAAAATGGGGGCTGTGGAGATGGCTCAGCAGTTAAGAACACTGGCTGTTCTTGCAGAAGACCCGGGTTCGAATCCCAGCACCCACATGGCAGCTAAAAACTGTCCGTAACTCCAGTTCCAGGGGATCCGAAAGCCTCTTCTGACCTCCGCAGCATTGCACTACATAGGTGCACTTACCTACATGCAGGCAATACACACATACAAATAATAAAATATATTTTTTT